CCTGTTGTATTGATCGCAGAATATATTTGACGGTGCTGGATTATTTGGTAATTAGACGAGATGAATCGAAAGTAATCAGGCTACAAATTGTCTGACACTCGCTAATAATAGCACAGGATAGGAAATTTTGGCACCTTAGACTTTATTAGGAGCAATTTCTCTAATGAGACTATTGCCGAGTAAAAATTTACACTGATCGATAAAACACTATAACCGTAGAAAGAGGTCAAGTGTGGGCAGAGAACTAAAGGCTGAGACCCAAAAGTGGACTAGAAAAAGATCTTTAGCAATGATAAATAAAGGAATATAAGCGACACGGTCGTAAATAACGAAACGCCTCCAAGAGTTACCTTGCAGCTGATATAACGAAAGAATTCCAAATAAAAATATATTTAGCAAGTTTAGGAAGAAAGCCTTTCAGCCTTGTGTATTTCATAAGCAAGAATATCCATTTGCTTGTATCCCTCGCTGGTAATCATACGACCACTAGTGCAATAAATTTAATGAAAATCTCACCCATTCTTAGACTTAGCAACGAAGCCAGCATTTTCTAATTGTTGCAGGGCTTTTCGAATAACCGTTTGGCTAGCAAGGGAGCGATGACTTGGCCTGACACCGTTTCTTTTCCTCCGAGAAAAAGCCTTAGTAAGGCCTTTCATTCCAGTCGGTCGGATATATATATGTCTGAGGATTGCCGCACACCTCACGTAAAACCAATCAGGATCATAGGGGCCTAATTCATTTGAGATATTCAATTTAACAACATCAACCCAATCGGGAGGCTTAACGACGGCATTTCTAAGGATAAAAAGATAAATAAATTACAACATACTTTTTAAGTAACTGAGAAAGACCTCTTACAAAAACATGTCCGCTAACGTCTTTAACGGAAAGTTTAACCTAAAAATGATAAGAGATAGAACAAACCATGCCGGTAATATCGCGCTAGAAAATTTGAGCGAGAAATGGTTCACTTTAAGGATCATTTTATTTTTTATATAGAATAAAAACGTTAAAATAATGTTAGTTCAAAGTTTTTATATCAAATTTATTGTACACTACGATACCGAAGAATATATGGTAATATTTAATTATTAATGCTCATTAGTTTAAATAAAACAATAAGTATATTATTTAAAATAAAAAAAAATTTATATTTTATATATTTATGATGGACTTTTTTAATTCTATGCTTGCCTATTTTATGGGCCCCACAGCATCTATTCCGATTCACATGTTTTTTTCTTAAAAAATAAATAATCACTTTCAATCACTTCATTTCTTATAGTACTTTATTCATTAGTCGTGAACTTTCGCATTCATTAATTTATTACTTATTATATTCTAGTCATTCAATTCTGTCTTTGAAATCATTCTGTATCACAAGAATCACGTATAAAGAAAAAATGGGTTATTAGGATAAGATTAATTTAGACGGATAAAATACTATGACGGCTGATTATGCTTCTAAGAACTTAAAACTTTAAAATATCATTGTTGAATAAAAGATCTTTTATGTTATTTTACCTCACTCTTTCATGAAGTCCAATAATGAAGTCCAAATCAAAAAGCTTTATCTACATAATCAGACGGCTTTCTGAAATTGCTCCATCGTAGTGATGGTTATAAAAAATATGTAGAAAGGGCGAGATTATGATCATGAAACCTTGATGGCTGAGATAAGACGTCTTAATGACTATATGCTCTCACTTCTGATTTCGTGCATTAACTGACACAAACAGACATACACATACAGAGACAGTCTTCCAGGTTGACATATAACCCTAACTAATCAAATACCTTTATTCTCAATTATGTTGATATATTGCTCTGATAATGTTTCTTATATGGCGAACTAAAAGCTTAGCATATTTTTTACGGGAATTAAAGAGATTTCCTCAAATTGACGTCAACATTATTGTTCCAGTAAAGTAAATCGACATGTAATTAAGAGCAGTTGGCCTTCTAATGTAATCGACCTTCGACTTTAAAATATCATTGTTAAATAAAAGATTTTTTATGTTATTTTACCTCATTCTTTCATGAAGTACAAATCAAAAAGCTTTATCTACATAATCAGATGGCTTTCTGAAATTGCTCCATCGTAGTGATGGTTATAAAAAATATGTAGAAAGGGCGAGATAATGATCATGAAACCATGATGGCTGTGAAAAGACGTCCTAATAACTATAGTCTCTCACTTATG